AAAGACCAATTAAGAGGCCTATAATTAACTAATCTGAATTTTTAAAAAAAAAATATCAAAACCAAGAACAGAGGAGTTACCAAATTTTATAGCTCTAAATATGTAATCCTTAAAGAAAATAATTACAAACTACTATGCCCAGTTTTATGCCAACAAAACTAAAAATATATAAAAGAAACGGGTATTTATGAAAATATAAAACCTTCATATTAACAACACAAACAGTAGGTAATCCAAACAATCCAATCTCAAAAATAGAAATTAAGCAAGCCATAAATGAACTCCCAAACAAAGCAAAAAACACACATCCAGATCAATTTATAATTAAATTAAATTCCATCAATCATTTAAAGAAAAGTTCACCCCTCTGCTATGTAAGGTATTCACAAAATTAGAGAAAGAATATACCTTCCCAAACTACTCCCATGAGATGAATATGGTCCTAAGGCCCAGACAAGTGAGATAAAGTAGGGAATGAACACTGTAGAGCAGCATCAGTAATGACTATTGACTCAAAAATATTTAATCAAATATTAGCAAAGACTTTAATGATATATTCAAAAATTATTTACTGGGGCCAGATTGGATTTATATGCCAGGAAAAGGGATGGTTCAACATTAGAAAACTATGAACACAAACAAATGTTATTAGCAAAAAATAAAAATCATATTAATAGATGTAAGAAAAAACCCTTAACATGTAGCACATATTCATTTTAATAGTAAAAAGGCTGAAAAATAGAGAGGTAGCTCATTGGAACAGAATAGACAAGGAACAAAAACAATGGAATTCCATAGCAGTATTCAATAAACCAGAAAACTTAAAATACTTAGAAGAGTCCCTATTTGATTTAAAAAAGAAACTACTGGAAAAACTGTAAACCTGGAAGAAATTAGCCCTATACCACCCCCTTATACCATATTCCACAATGGCTTCTAAACTGCTATGTGAACTTAATATTAAAGATCATACTATTAAAAAATTAGAAGAAAAGCAGATCAATATACCTTTCAAAGCTATGGGTGGGATATATTAACTAAACAAGGAATAGAGGCAATTACAAAGGATAAAATGTATAACTTTGATTAATGAAATTGAAAGGCTTCTGCGCAAACAAAATTAATTCACATAGGATAAGGAGAGAAATGGTCAAATGAGGGGAAAAAACAGCTTTGTATTGGATTTCTTTAATAGGGGGTTGTTATCCAATATATCCAACAATTAATAGATATATGTAGGGTATTCAAAAGTCTTAGGAGACTTTTAAGGTATTAAGGTTTAAAACTGCACTAAAACTTTTGGGGAGTGTGTGTGTGTGTGTGTGTGTGTGTGTGTGTGTGTGTGTGTGTGTG